TCGCTAGGTTTGCAACTACGTGTCCCAGACTGCATCCCTGCTGAGAGTCCCTCCCTCCCTTCTCATATTGCAGGAAGAACGTAAGCGCCCGCCCCTTGTCAATCAGTCACCATATAATTTTGGATTGGTTGTTGTGGTGAAGTTTTCCACCAATAGGAGAGATGTTGTGGTGTGTATTTTTTTTCCTTTGGCAAGCCTTTTCCGCCTGTAAGACCTGTCGCTAATGTCTGCATGCTATGTTTTCCTGTCTCATACAGCGCGATCGAGCGCCGAACGTGATCAAAATAAGCAGAAAACAAGTATCGCGGACATAATTTATCATAACTCTGGTTTTATTTGGCCTATCAACACAATTTAAAAACTGGTATATAGGTTGAGGTCCTCACTTTTGAGATAAATTGAAACGGAGAGTCAACGAGGCTCCGTCTTGCAGCTACATCCGGTTAAATATGTCATGTGACTTGAACGCACACACACACACACACACACAGACACACACACACACGCACACACACACACACTCAGAGTCTTTTTTTTAGCACCTGCAAAAACATGCTATTTACATATTTGACAAGAATGCAGAGGCTCCTTTTGCCCCTGAAAAAAATCAAATTTCAAACACAACTTGACTGGTCATTTCTCCAAAAGACAACCATGAAGCTCCATCCAAACCTGAAGCAGGCAGTTGGTGCATGTGTACAGTAACCTGAGGGGAGTGAGGTGACTGCTTCTGAGGAGAACATGAGCAGTGAAGATTTACCTTAGAGCTAGAACAGAGACGTGCACATGATTATACAGGGGCAGGGGCTCAAGTTTTTTCCAGTCGTTTATACAATTTGGAAATTAATGTGAAATTAAAACACAAAGTATTAATAGAAAGGTAATGACTGTCCTGTGTAGGTGACAGTGATATCCAATAGGCTAGGCACTCACGAGGCTGGCTGTGGCAAGTGTAAGTGAAAGCAACACGCACTGGCAGGAAGAACAGCAAACGCCGATGAAGGAAAAGGGTCTTTGCAGTGATGGGCGTTACCAGAGAGGGCGATGGCCAGAGGACACAAATGGGACGGGGAGGCAGCACGTTGGGGGGGGGGACGCGACACGGCTCGGGCCCGCCAGTGCCCCAACGGGGTCCTAGTGTTATTAGGGCCCGAGCCAGCTGCAGAGCAGCCGGGCGTAGGCCCTATTATTCCCCAAGGGGTTTTTCTTTGTTTCTTTAGGGCCCGAGCGTAGCTGCTAAGCAGCTGCGAGAGCCCTCTTGTTCCTGATGGATTCTTCTTTTGTTATTATTATTAGGGCCCGAGCGTAGCTGCTAAGCAGCTGCGAGAGCCCTATTATTCCTGATGGATTCTTCTTTCTTCTTCTTCTTATTATTTTTCTGCCCCTTTGAACTGGAAAATGGCCCACTTCCCACTGGTGAAAAGTCATGAAATTTGGCAGGACGACCGGGCCTGGTGAAAAATTCGATATTCTGAAGTCGCCCAAAAAATCAAATGCAAAATGGCTCCATAGCGCCCCCTAAGGTGAAAAATTCACATGATTGAGTGTCACGCCTGTACGCTTTGTCAAAATGACACAAAATTTGACACACACGTGTATCTCAATAAGATCTACAAAAAAGTCAGTGCGGGCGTATCTGTCAAATGTACGGTTAAAGGGCTATTTCGCATTTTTTGCCGATCCGCACACATTGGAATTTCGCTAACTCCTCCGAAGGCTTTCGTTCCACCGGCACCAAATTTGCTCAGGCCAATCTACACCCCATGGCCATTAAAAGTTGTACAAATCATGACGCTGCATCCCACGGTTTACGTTCTAGGGGGCGCCAAAGATAACCCAGAAATCCACATTCTTAAAAGTCGTATAACTTTTTATTTTTGTCCTCACTGGCCTCCAAGTTTTCTAGGATGATGCAATGTCCAGCCATCAACACATTTGTGAAGGAATTTTTACTCCCCAAAAGAGCGCCCCCCCATGGCAGGAGAAAAAAGTCAATTTTTTCTTGTCTCCTAAGGCGAAAATTCACACTATTGACTGTCACGCCTTTACGCTTTGTCATATTGACACAAAAATTGACACACACATGTATCTCAGTAAGATCTACAAAAAAGTCAGTGCGGGCGTATCTGTCAAATGTACGGTGAAAGGGCTATTTCGCATTTTTTGCCGATCCGCACACATTGGAATTTCGCTAACTCCTCCGAAGGCTTTCGTTCCAAAGGCACCACATTTGCTGAGGCCAATCTACACCCCATGGCCATTAAAAGTTGTACAAATCATGACGCTGCACCCCACGGTTTACGTTCTAGGGGGCGCCAAAGATAACCCAAAAATCCACAGTCTTAAAAGTCTTATAACTTTTTATTTTTGTCCTCACTGGCCTCCAAGTTCTCTAGGATGATGCAATGTCCAGCCATCAACACATTTGTGAAGGAATTTTTACTCGCCAAAAGAGCGCCCCCCCATGGCAGGAGAAAAAAGTCCATTTTTTCTTGTCTCCTAAGGCGAAAATACACATTGTTGACTGTCACGCCTTTACGCTTTGTCAAAATGACACAAAATTTGACACACACATGTATCTCAATAAGATCTACAAAAAAGTCAGTGCGGGCGTATCTGTCAAATGTACGGTTAAAGGGTTATTTCGCATTTTTTGCCGATCCGCACACATTGGAATTTCGCTAACTCCTCCTAAATCTTTTGTCCCATCGGCTTCAAATTTGCTCAGGTCAATCTACACCCCATGGCCATTCAAAGTTGTACAAATCATGACGCTGCACCCCACAGTTTACGTTCTAGGGGGCGCCAAAGAGGACCCAAATATCCACATTTTTAAAAGTCTTATAACTTTTTATTTTTGTCCTCACTGGCCTCCAAGTTTTCTAGGATTATGCAATGTCCAGCCATCAACACATTTGTGAAGGAATTTTTCTCCCCAAAAGAGCGCCCCCCATGGCAGGAGAAAAAGTCAAGTTTTTCCTGCCCATCGCTCAATGGCTCAAACGCATCGCTCTCTCTGCAAAACCGAAAGGAGGAGCAACTTGCCATTTGGATATATACTAGCTGTGTTTGTGCCCTCACTCATGGTCCAGACTTTTTTCAAATAGGACATGTAGTTTGTCTGCAGCGAGCGTTTTGGTAGAAACTGCGCCTCCCATTCATTATAATGGGAAATGACCACAGACAAGTGCGCACACCATCTTTGGACCTTGAGTGTGACGCAATCGGGAGGGGGAGGCGGTCGCGCTGGGGGCGGCGCGACGCGGCTCGGGCCCGACAGTGCCCCACCGGGGCCCTAGTTATTATTATTTTTCCTCCGCTTTAAACTGGAAAATGGCCCACTTCCCACTGGCGAAAACTCATGAAATTTGGCAGGACGACCGGGCCTGGTGAAAAATTCGATATTCTGAAGTCGCCCAAAGAATAAAATGCAAAATGGCTCCATAGCGCCCCCTAAGGTGGAAATTCACATGATTGAGTGTCACGCCTGTACGCTTTGCCATATTGACACAAAAATTGACACACACATGTATCTCAATAAGATCTACAAAAAAGTCAGTGCGGGCGTATCTGTCAAATGTACGGTTAAAGGGTTATTTTGCATTTTTTGCCGATCCGCACACATTGAAATTTCGCTAACTCCTCCGAAGGCTTTCGTTCCACTGGCACCACATTTGCTCAGGCCAATCTACACCCCATGGCCATCGAAAGTTGTACAAATCATGACGCTGCACCCCACGGTTTAGGTTCTAGGGGGCGCCAAAGATAACCAAAAAATCCACATTCTTAAAAGTCTTATAACTTTTTATTTTTTTCCTCACTGGCCTCCAAGTTCTCTAGGATGATGCAATGTCCAGCCATCAACACATTTGTGAAGGAATTTTTACTCCCCAAAAGAGCGCCCCCACATGGCAGGAGAAAAAAGTCCATTTTTTCTTGTCCCCTAAGGTGAAAATACACATTGTTGACTGTCACGCCTGTACGCTTTGTCATATTGACACAAAAATTGACACACACATGTATCTCAATAAGATCTACGAAAAAAGTCAATGGGCACGTATCTGTAAAATGTACGGTTAAAGGGCTATTTTGCATTTTTTGCTGATTCGCACACATTGGAATGTGGCTAACTCGTCCTACAGCTTTCGTCCCACTGACACCAAATTTGCTCAGGCCAATCTACAACCCATGGCCATTCAAAGTTGTAAAAATCATGACGCTGCACCCCACGGTTTACGTTCTAGGGGGCGCCAAAGATGACCCAAATATACATTACAGCAGACAAAGTAGTTTTGCCCACTGAGTGGCGCCAAAGGGACTTGTCTATTGAGTCTGGGAGTCACTATTGGCCGTTTTTGACTACTTTAGATTTTACCTTTATATTTCCTCTTAAATTTTTTTTACCTTGCCTTGCCTGGTATCATTTTTTTCAGCACAACCTCACCTGTGTGAATTTACAGTTATTTTATCATTTTGACATACTGTATTTACACAATGGACCCAAATTCACACACAAAACATAAATTCCGAGTGGAAAAAAGTAACATTTTAACTGTGAAAACCACAAATATGTGTGATGAACTGTTTTTAAAACTTAAACTTCAAATAAAAATTGTAAACTTCAAAACATATGCAAATTTTTAACAAAGAACATAGTAATTTACCTCTATTTACATCAAAATGCAGGCAATGGCCCAGGCGTTCTTTGTAAAATTATTTACAAAACACTGTATAGTCTCACAAATGTCACTTATATTTAAGCCACTACAAAAAATCATGATGTAAATGATGCATGATGTAAAACATGATGTAAAAAACTTGTGTAGATCCTCCTCTATGTTAGTCCATGTGTAATTTTTCCATAATTCTTTGTTTTTTGCAGCATTTTTGTTAGTGTAACTGCAGATTGTGCTGACAGTGTCTATGGCAAAAAAAAAAAAAAAATGAAAATGCCTCAACATGAACCCCTGGTGGTCTCTGAGGGTGAAACCTGCTAACTGCTGCAGATCTGTCAGCTTCATGCAGAGCTCGGAGCACATGTGTGGCTCTGCACCATTAGCAGCGTTGCTAACTCCTCAGTAAGGAAAGCCTGCTTCATGCCTGAGTCTCTAAACTCCAGAAGAAGTCGATAAAAGTCCCTTTCTTTCTAAAAAAAAAGGCGTTAGGTGGTCTTAAAAGTCATTGAATCTAACAACAAAGTCGCTAGGTTTGCAACTACGTGTCCCAGACTGCATCCCTGCTGAGAGTCCCTCCCTCCCTTCTCATGTTGCAGGAAGACCGTAAGCGCCCGCCCCTTGTCAATCAGTCACCATATAATTTTGGATTGGTTGTTGTGGTGAAGTTTTCCACCAATAGGAGAGATGTTGTGGTGTGTTTTTTTTTTCTTTTGGCAAGCCTTTTCCGCCTGTAAGACCTGTCGCTAATGTCTGCATGCTATGTTTTCCTGTCTCATACAGCGCGATCGAGCGCCGAACGTGATCAAAATAAGCAGAAAAAAAGTATCGCAGACATAATTTATCATAACTCTGGTTTTATTTGGCCTATCAACACAATTTAAAAACTGGTATATAGTTTAAGGTCCTCACTTTGGAGATAAGTTGAAACGGAGAGTCAACGAGGCTCCATCTTGCAGCTACATCCGGTTAAATATGTCATGTGACTTGAACGCTGGGGAGCGTCAATCGACTGCAGAGCCAGCAGACAAAGTACTTATGGCCATTGAGAGGCACACATTTGTCATATGCTATAATCCTAACATATTTTAATGCTTTTTCTATTTAAACCTAATGGATCTAAGCTTTGACCTTCAAAATTTAGGAAGAATATGTTTTTGCAGTAATGACCCCCTGAAAACAACCAGAGGTCCTTTCCTAAAGTTTATGGAAATTTTAGTGAAGGCCTTGGTTTCTGTCCTTGCAAAATGCATAGAAATAATAAAGCTAAATACCATAAAATGGTCTTGGCGTATTAGCAGTGATATAAAATAGTGGTTTGAATATGAATGAACAACAAAAAAAAACATCAACAGAGCCTTTTTGTGTTGGGATTCTTTCATTATTACACAAAAACAGACATAGACAGACATCGAAAGGGTAAGGGAATGATCAGCCCTCCTGACTCTCAGATGAATCTTCAAAATTCACCTCAGAAATATGCTTATTCTTCTCAGAGTACTGCAGGATACACACACACACACACACACACACACACACACACACACACACACACACACACACACTCACTCAGAGTCTTTTTTTTAGCACCTGCAAAAACATGCTATTTACATATTTGACAAGAATGCAGAGGCTCCTTTTGCCCCTGAAAAAAATCAAATTTCAAACACAACTTGACTGCTCATTTCTCCAAAAGACAACCATGAAGCTCCATCCAAACCTGAAGCAGGCAGTTGGTGCATGTGTACAGTAACCTGAGGGGAGTGAGGTGACTGCTTCTGAGGAGAACATGAGCAGTGAAGATTCACCTTGGAGCTAGAACAGGGACGTGCACATGATTATACAGGGGCAGGGGCTCACGTTTTTTCCAGTCGTTTATACAATATGGAAATTAATGTGAAATTAAAAACAAAGTATTAATAGAAAGGTAATGACTGTCCTGTGTAGGTGACCGTGATATCCAATAGGCTAGGCACTCACAAGGCTGGCTGTGGCAAGTGTAAGTGAAAGCAACATGCACTGGCAGGAAGACCAGCTAACACAGATGAAGGAAAAGGATCTTTGCAGTGATGGGCGTAACCAGAGAGGGCGACAGCCAGAGGACGTGAATGGGACAGGGAGGCGGTCGCGCTGGGGGCGGCGCACCGCGGCTCGGGCCCGCCAGTGCCCCAACGGGGCCCTAGTTCTTTCTTTCTTTCTTCTTTTTCCTCCCCTTTGAACTGGAAAATGGCCCACTTCCCACTGGCGAAAACTCATGAAATTTGGCAGGACGACCGGGCCTGGTGAAAAATTTGATATTCCGAAGTCGCCCAAACAAGAAAATGCAAAATGGCTCCATAGCGCCCCCTAAGGTGAAAATTCACACTATTGACTGTCACGCGTGTACGCTTTGTCAAAATGACACAAAAATTGACACACACATGTATCTCAATAAGATCTACAAAAAAGTCAGTGCGGGCGTATCTGTCAAATGTACGGTTAAAGGGTTATTTCGCATTTTTTGCCGATCCGCACACATTGGAATTTCGCTAACTCCTCCGAAGGCTTTCGTTCCACCGGCACCACATTTGCTCAGGCCAATCTACACCCCATGGCCATTAAAAGTTATTCAAATCATGACGCTGCACCCCACGGTTTAGGTTCTAGGGGGCGCCAAAGATAACCCTAAGATCCACATATTTAAAAGTCTTATAACTTTTTATTTTTGCCCTCACTGGCCTCCAAGTTTTCTAGGATGATGCAATGTCCAGCCATCAACACATTTGTGAAGGAATTTTTACTCCCCAAAAGAGCGCCCCCCCATGGCAGGAGAAAAAAGTCCATTTTTTCTTGTCCCCTAAGGTGAAAATACACATTGTTGAGTGTAACACCTGTATGCTTTGGCAAAATGACACAAAAATTGACACACACATGTATCTCAATAAGATCTACGAAAAAGTCAATGCGCGCGTATCTGTCAAATGTACGGTTAAAGAGTTATTCCGCATTTTTTGCCGATCCGCACACATTGGAATTTCGCTAACTCCTCCGAAGGCTTTCGTTCCACCGGCACCACATTTGCTCAGGCCAATCTACACCCCATGGCCATTAAAAGTTATTCAAATCATGACGCTGCACCCCACGGTTTAGGTTCTAGGGGGCGCCAAAGATAACCCTAAAATCCACATATTTAAAAGTCTTATAACTTTTTATTTTTGTCCTCACTGGCCTCCAAGTTTTCTAGGATGATGCAATGTCCAGCCATCAACACATTTGTGAAGGAATTTTTACTCCCCAAAAGAGCGCCCCCCCATGGCAGGAGAAAAAAGTCCATTTTTTCTTGTCCCCTAAGGTGAAAATACATATTGTTGAGATTCACGCCTATACGCTTTGTCATATTGACACAAAATTTGACAATCACGTGCCTTGCCTGGTATCATTTTTTTTCAGCACAACCTCACCTGTGCGAATTTACAGTTATTTTATCATGTTGACATACTGAATTTACACAATGGACCCAAATTCACACACAAAACATAAAATCCGAGTGGAAAAAAGTAACATTTTTACTGTGAAAACCACAAATATGTGTGATGAACTGTTTTTAAAACTTAAACTTCAAATAAAAATTGTAAACTTCAAAACATATGCAAATTTTTAACAAAGAACATAGTGATTTACCTCTATTTACATCAAAATGCAGGCAATGGCCCAGGCGTTCTTTGTAAAATTATTTACAAAACACTGTATAGTCTCACAAATGTCACTTTTTATTTATGCCACTACAAAAAAACATGATTTAAATGATGCATGATGTAAAACATGATGTAAAAAACTTGTGTAGATCCTCCTCTATGTCAGTCCATGTGTAATTTTTCCATAATTCTTTGTTTTTTGCAGCATTTTTGTTAGTGTAACTGCAGATTGTGCTGACAGTGTCTATGGCACAAAAAAAAAAATTAAAATGCCTCAACATGAACCCCTGGTGGTCTCTGAGGGTGAAACCTGCTAACTGCTGCAGCTCTGTCAGCTTCAGTCTCCCATGCAGAGCTCTGAGCGCATGTGTGGCTCTGCACCCTTAGCAGCGTTGCTAACTCCTCAGTAAGGAAAGCCTGCTTCATGTCAGAGTCTCTAAACTCCAGAAGAAGTCGATAAAAGTCCCTTTCTTTCTAAAAAAAAAGTCGTTAGGGGGTCTGAAAAGTCATTGAATCTAACAACAAAGTCGCTAGGTTTGCAACTACGTGTCCCAGACTGCATCCCTGCTGAGAGTCCCTCCCTCCCTTCTCATGTTGCAGGAAGAACGTAAGCGCCCGCCCCTTGTCATTCAGTCACCATATAATTTTGGATTGGTTGTTGTGGTGAAGTTTTCCACCAATAGGAGAGATGTTGTGGTGTGTTTTTTTTTTCTTTTGGCAAGCCTTTTCCGCCTGTAAGACCTGTCGCTAATGTCTGCATGCTATGTTTTCCTGTCTCATACAGCGCGATCGAGCGCCGAACGTGATCAAAATAAGCAGAAAAAAAGTATCGCGGACATAATTTATCATAACTTTGGTTTTATTTGGCCTATCAACACAATTTAAAAACTGGTATATAGGTTGAGGTCCTCACTTTTGAGATAAGTTGAAACGGAGAGTCAACGAGGCTCCGTCTTGCAGCTACATCCGATTAAATATGTCATGTGACTTGAACGCACACACAGACACACGCACACACACACACACACACACACACTCAGAGTCTGGTTTTTAGCACCTGCAAAAACATGCTATTTACATATTTGACAAGAATGCAGAGGCTCCTTTTGCCCCTGAAAAAAATCAAATTTCAAACACAACTTGACTGCTCATTTCTCCAAAAGACAACCATGAAGCTCCATCCAAACCTGAAGCAGGCAGTTGGTGCATGTGTACAGTAACCTGAGGGGAGTGAGGTGAGTGCTTCTGAGGAGAACATGAGCAGTGAAGATTCACCTTGGAGCTAGAACAGAGACATGCACATGATTATACAGGGGCAGGGGCTCAAGTTTTTTCCAGTCGTTTATACAATATGGTAATTACTGTGAAATTAAAACACAAAGTATTAATAGAAAGGTAATGACTGTCCTGTGTAGGTGACAGTGATATCCAATAGGCTAGGCACTCACGAGGCTGGCTGTGGCAAGTGTAAGTGAAAGCAACACGCACTGGCAGGAAGAACAGCAAACGCCGATGAAGGAAAAGGGTCTTTGCAGTGATGGCCGTTACCAGAGAGGGCGATGGCCAGAGAACACAAATGGGACGGGGAGGCAGCACGTTGGGGGGGGGGCGCGACACGGCTCGGGCCCGCCAGTGCCCCAACGGGGTCCTAGTTATTATTTTTCCTCCCCTTTGAACTGGAAAATGGCCCACTTCTCACTGGCGAAAACTCATGAAATTTGGCAGGACGACCGGGCCTGGTGAAAAATTTGATATTCTGAAGTCGCCCAAACAATACAATGCAAAATGGCTCCATAGCGCCCCCTAAGGTGAAAAATTCACCTGACGCCTGTACGCTTTGTCAAAATGACACAAAAATTGACACACACATGTATCTCAATAAGATCTACAAAAAAGTCAGTGCGGGCGTATCTGTCAAATGTACGGTTAAAGGGTTATTTCGCATTTTTTGCCGATCCGCACACATTGGAATTTCGCTAACTCCTCCGAAGGCTTTCGTTCCACCGGCACCACATTTGCTCAGGCCAATCTACACCCCATGGCCATTAAAAGTTATTCAAATCATGACGCTGCACCCCACGGTTTATGTTCTAGGGGGCGCCAAAGATAACCCTAAAATCCACATATTTCAAAGTCTTATAACTTTTTATTTTTGCCCTCACTGGCCTCCAAGTTTTCTAGGATGATGCAATGTCCAGCCATCAACACGTTTGTGAAGGAATTTTTACTCCCCAAAAGAGCGCCCCCCCATGGCAGGAGAAAAAAGTCCATTTTTTCTTGTTCCATAAGGTGAAAATTCACACTATTGACTGTCACGCCTGTACGCTTTGTCAAAATTACACAAAAATTGACACACACATGTATCTCAATAAGATCTACAAAAAAGTCAGTGCGGGCGTATCTGTCAAATGTACTGTTAAAGGGTTATTGCGCATTTTTTGCCGATCCGCACACATTGGAATTTCGCTAACTCCTCCGAAGGCTTTCGTTCAACCGGCACCACATTTGCTCAGGCCAATCTACACCCCATGGCCATTAAAAGTTATTCAAATCATGACGCTGCACCCCACGGTTTAGGTTCTAGGGGGCGCCAAAGATAACCCTAAAATCCACATATTTAAAAGTCTTATAACTTTTTATTTTTGTCCTCTCTGGCCTCCAAGTTTTCTAGGATGATGCAATGTCCAGCCATCAACACATTTGTGAAGGAATTTTTACTCCCTAAAAGAGCGCCCCCCCATGGCAGGAGAAAAAAGTCCATTTTTTCTTGTCCTATAAGGTGAAAATACACATTGTTGACTGTCATACCTGTATGCTTTGTCATATTGACACAAAATTTGACACACACATGTATCTCAATAAGATCTACGAAAAAGTCAATGCGCGCGTATCTGTAAAATGTACGGTTAAAGGGCTATTTTGCATTTTTTGCCGATTCGCACACATTGGAATGTGGCTAACTCCTCCTAAGGCTTTCATCCCACTGACACCAAATTTGCTCAGGCCAATCTACACCCCATGGCCATTCAAAGTTGTAAAAATCATGACGCTGCACCCCACGGTTTACGTTCTAGGGGGCGCCAAAGATGACCCAAATATCCACATTCTTAAAAGAATCCACATCCCCCCATCCCCCAACCCCCATCCCCCATGGCAGGAGAAACAGTCAAGTTTTTCCTGCCCATCACTCAATGGCTCAATCGCATCACTCTCCCGGCAACACCGTAACGAGGAGCAACTTGCCGTTTGGATATATCC